GGAGTTGCGCAGCTTGGACGCGCTCAGGTGAAGTTGAATAATGCCGAGTCACGTGACAAGAAATGACTGATCCGCTTCAGCTTGTATGGACATTTACACATGTTGGTGAACTAGTTATCTCAGAGAAACACTGCAGTGCTTTGTAATTTTCTCAATGAACAATCTTATATGTATAAGAAAATAAAAACTACTGCCCCATGTGGTGCATAAACAATCCCGCATGCAGACGCAGAACATGCACTCTTTTTTCAGTCGGATGCCGTCATTTGGTATGTTCATGGGCAGTTTTTGGGTGAGCCGTTGCAAAGCAACAACACAGTTGGGATTCGTCGGTACTAGTTGTTTGGTGTTGGCTTGCTGTTTCCCAGACCTAAAGGCTAATTTATACTCCTGCATCAAGCGCATGCATATGGTCCGTCACAGCTTTTGGGCAGTCGCATAGCCCTCGCGATGGCTGATGCAGAAACTGATGCACACCATGCAAAAATGTAACTACATGTCTGACGCGTGGGAATAGCTCTATGATTGGTCAACTTCGTAGTAGTGACGAGCGTGGGTGGTGCTGACAGCCGTGAACCTGATGGAGCGAAAGTTTACAAATCCTATGAAGGAGCTCCAGATAGAAAACTTTGTTTTGTGTTTACCATATGATTAAAGTTGTTGCACGTCCGCGGGTTCCCGCCTAATAATGAGTGAGTTTAGCTACTTGTACATTAAGGTAGCGTTCAGGTAAAAACAAAACACCCACGAAGAAACTCGACTCAGAGGAACATAAAAACCTCACTGCCAACTAGCGTTCAGAAGAGTTATTGCAGAGCAACACAAACAGCACACCGAAGTATAAATGCATGACTACGCGCAAGGCATGCACCGCTCAACACAGAAGTATAAACCAGCCCTAAGACCTTTAGACCAGATTGTAAAAGTGTGTGAACACATTTGCCCAAGAAATCGAAAATCAAGGATAAAAGGTCAGATTGAACACAAGTTAAAGGGCATTTTGGGACAGCTCTCGAAAACCTTCCTAATCTTTACATGCTGAGCCTCAAAACTTACTCTTACTCGGAGTCTGTACAAATCTCACCTACATCTATCCCCACTCAAAAAGACCACTGCGTTTCAATGCGAAGGCTTTTACACACATGAGAAGGACAGTTGCAGACAAGGACAGTTTGACATGCTTCCAGAAAAGAGAGGGAAAAAAAGACAAGGTGAGGCATTCCAGAGACACATGCTGCGAGTATATTGTCTTAAAAGCAATGCAACCTGAGCACAGGTTAATATGCTTATAAATCAAGTGGACATCAAGCATCGCAAATGCAAATGCACCACAGACAGATGACATTGATGAGGCGTGCCAGAGCAGTTTGTTTAAAGGGGAAAATAAATTAAGAAGCGAAGCAAAACAAAAATCAAAATGAGGCCTTATAATGTTGCTGTATTGCTTTTAAAGTATGCATGCTGGGAAATGGGCAAGCAAACGACAAAGCCATCAGATCACCACCCCAAGAAGAAACACAGAAGATAAACTTTGAACTTCAAAAACTAGCAAACAATATAAAAGTTAGAATAAAGACATCGTGTTTAGGGGAAAATATATTGAGGTGTGTGATAAATGCTAATCACATGTTATGTATACACAATCTTTTCATTTATAACATAACACACATTCCAGCATGCATGATCTGTTTATATGACAACAGAAGCGTAGTTCAAGTTTAGACACAATTATCCATCAGAAACTTGAAGTTGCGACAGTAAACTAACAAGCCTAACACTCGACATTCATGACTTGTAAATGTGTTGTCATATCACTAGTATACAGTAGCAATACTGTATGTTAGCTTCTGCAAGCTATGACTAGCAAATGTATTTACAGGTTGAATAAAGGCATGTCATATTTCTGTATATTTCTGTAGTTCGTTCTTTCTACGTGATTATCAATAAAGATAAAATTTACAATATTACGCAGCTACTAGTCAATAGGTTATCAGTTCTATTGATAACCTTTTTAAACAATCCCACAACAAAAATCCATTAACTACATTCACAGACATGGCACTTTGCAGTAATTCCTCTTCAATCTTAAGTTAATCATCTTAAAGTAATAGTTAAGAATTGTGCATATATATCTTTTTAAATACTACAGTATTTCCTTTAGGTAGAACAGCCTTTTTGCTAAAGCCTCTTGTAAAATACCATCGCTGTTAATATGTCAAGTGAGTAGTCTCAACTAGTGTCACCAAATTTAACTCCTAAACACTGCCTGAATCTGCAAAACAGATATCCCAAATTGTAACTAGTTAATGTTACATCAGGCCATGCTATGCTTTGTTTGTTTGGCGCCACTAGTGGCACAGAAACTACACAACAAATCTTCAAAGGCACTTTTCCATTGCATGGTACGGCATGGTTCAGTTGTGTAAGGCTCAATTGAGGGGTCTTTTCGCTGATTTCCAGATGTAGTACCTTGTACTTTTTTAAATAACCATTTGGGTGAGGTTTTAAGTGATCCGTATAAGTACCAAAATGTGACGTATGCACACTGCTGATCACCTATTGGTCTGAGAGAATTGTCAATTCCAATATCATTGGATCTCCGACACAAGACACAAAACCTCATTCATTCATTCATTCATTTTCTGCCGCTGTTCCGGGGCCGGGTCGCAGGGGCAGCAGTCTTAGGAGAGAACCCCAGACATACCTCTCCCCAGACACTTCCTCCAGCTCCTCCGGAGGCGATCCTGAGGCGTTCCCAGCCAGCAGAGAGATATAGTCCCTCCAGCATGTCCTGGGTCTTCCCCGAGGCCTCCTCCCGGTGGGACATGCCTGGAACACCTCCCTAGGTAGGAGTCCAGGAGGCATCCGAAACAGATGCCCGAGCAACCTCAACTGACTTCTCTTGATGTGGAGGAGCAGCGGCTCTACTCCGAGCTCCTCCCGGGTGTCAGAGCTCCTCACCCTGTCTATGAGAGTGCGCCCTGCCACCCTTCGAAGGAAACTCATTTCGGCCCCTTGTATCCGAGATCTTGTCCTTTCGGTCATGACCCAAAGCAAGACAAAAAACCTATTATATATAAATAGTCAGCAACCACTCAGGAACACTATCCACTGCCTCTGTGTTTTGACTTGGTTTATGTTGTGCATTTGTTTATGATACATGAATGTGCCCCATGCAGGGTTCATGCATCTTGTTTGTATACATTTTGAACAGCATCTACGCTCATTATTCTCCATTTCCACCTAGGGATACTCATCCCGAGGGCCTCAGACTATGCAGCGCCACTGATTCAATCCAAGACCAGCGTCGAGATGATCCCAAGGTTTCCATAATCCTGGACCAGGCTGCATCCTGAGCAGTTGCTGTGGTGGTCTTGGAGGAGTGGAGAGCATGAGACTGATTCCTGTGACGCTCCAGGGACAGATGAGTCTTCGCTGAGGTCCAGAATTGTCCAGCGCCTCGACTGCAGCTCTGCACAAGACATTTGTCCATAGGAGAAATGGTCGTGCCCAACTGAGCCTGGTTTCTCTACAGGATTTTCATTCTTCACTGTCGCCAATTGGTGAAGTTTCTGTCACTGTCGCCACTGGCTTGCATGGTTCGGGATCTGTAGAGCTGCGCATCGATGGATTTGCTCTTCAGTGTTTGGACTCTTAGTCATGATTATTAAACCACACTGAACTGAGCTAAACTGAACTTAAACACTGAAAACTGAACTGACACTGTTTCAATTTACTATGATCTTCTATGTGAAGCTGCTTGGACGTAATCTACTTGTAAAAGGGTCCATCCCACCACACCTAAAGGATACTAAAATGCTGCATTGGAAATGCAAACCAAGCCAAGCAAAAACCAAAGCAAGCCATACCATGCAGTGGAAAAGCAGCCCGAGAGACCAGAGCCTCTAAGAGCAAAATTGGCATTTGATCAACTGATAACCAGGCACATCCTCTCTAGCAGTTGAATAACTGTGCCCCATCCTCATCAATGATGGGATACCTAAATCCATCATCTCCCCCTTGGCTCTCATCCTCCAGTTGCAGACCGCCAAAGGAGAACTTGCTCTGAGGCAAAGGAGAAGAATTGGCTGCCCCGGGGTTTCCATAAACTAGGGGCTGACAGTAGGAGTTGCTGCCTGCATCCGACTCAGTATCACTAGACTCAGTTCCACTACTAGTAGAACCATCAATCATATGCACTGGGCTACTGTGATCATTAGCACTCAGCCTGCTTCCATAGAGGCGCTGGACATTGTTGGATCGAGATTGGCCGGATGCTCCAATCCCATTAGCTGCCACACGCCTCTCAATGGCAGCCATTCGTTCAGCCCTGGAGACCAAAGATCGAGGCTCATTGGTTGAACTCAACTGGCTTAAAATCATTGGGTCAGTATCAGAACGGTTACGCATGCCGTTTTGGAGCTTCTGCAAGTGTGGAGATCGATTGACGATTGGGGAGTAGCTCCCATAATGTTGAGCCTCGCTCCCAGATCGACCATTGCTAAGGTAATGGCTGCCATCATCCCATCGTCTGCGACTACTATACCCAATCTGTTCTGGATTATTCAGGGAGCTTGTTTTATGAAAACTGCTCATCACTGGACTACAGTTTGCACTTCGGGAACCAACTAAATGAGCAGTAGGTGACACCAAACCACGTCTATCCATACCTTGAAACAATTCATCCACCAAGGTACTGCTTAGAGGCATAGCACGAGGTGATCCGTTACCACAAAACGACCCATTAGATATCTGACTACCGTTGAAGGTATCTGAACTCTGAGCCAACCGGCGGGTATTCAAAGGAGACTCCCTAAATCTGGACTTGCTTGCCCCATTGTGTTGGCCATTTCCATAACCATTCCGTATTCTACGACCTGTTGGCTCAACCTCATCATTGTCATGTGTGTGTGAGTGAGACCTGGTGATTCGGCCGTTAACCACATCGTATTCACTATCTATGTCACTGCAGTCAATATAAGGTATCGAGGAGCTGCTACCCTTGGCAGAATGCGATGCTAGACCTGTGCTCAGATGCTCGGCCTGTTGTTTGGATGGGGACGGCTTTAATCGAGCATCCGCCTCATCGCTGGTCCCGTTTCGACATCCATTGGTCTGTGAGTTTAGGCTCCCGGTGTAACGCTGGAGAGCCGGGTTTTCAACAGTCACTTGAGTGCGCCCAAGAGGCGAGTCCGCCTGATGTCCTGAAGCACTGGCATTCCTCTGCAACATCTAAAATGCAAAGATGTTCGAGAAGAAAGAGCATGTGAGGCATACACTAAGGGTAACTTCAAGCTTGCAATATATGGGGTGTTTGACTGCATTCCTACTGCGTTTCTGCACTAAAATAGATCACACTCACCTCTCCTTGACCCTCAGCACTCTGCCTGGATGGGAATGGAGAAAGATTGCTGTTGGACTGGATTTTACTGTGTTTTCTGAGAATGGAAGAGTAAAGATGATTAGCAAGTTCTTTGAAGGGATATACTGTGTGTTTTTGGCTGACTAGATTAATGTACAATAATGAAAAGGCTTCAAGTATTGCACATTGATTACAATGATACTGCTAGAACATAGCAACTAGAATTGGGGGATAAGAAAGAGGGGGGTTGCTGGTTGCTTTCTAGTGTTTTGTGGTGATTTTTAGGTTTTGCAAGAAGGTTCCTAGGGAGTAATGTGTCTTTTTTTGGTGTTTTTTAGGGCTTTGCAAGGTGTGTTCTTATTTTGCATGATATGAATGTAGTTGGCAGGGTGTTCCTAGGGTTATCTAGGGTGTTTTGAGTTGTTTCTTTGCTGTTGCTAAGTAAAAAACAGCATCTAGAAAAAGTGCATGTCTAATTTATCATAACAGCATTCTGCCACCTTCTTTATTAATAATGGGCTGATCTTTAAATGTCAAAGTGATCTACAAATGGCAAGCAATAGCAACAACTCCCTGAAGAGTCTGTTTAATTAGTAACCATCAAACAAGGAGGTTATGGTACAAAAGAGCTTTTAAGGCAGTGCAATTATTTTCTAGCATGTTGCTTAGTGGTTTCTAGGGTGTTTAAGGAAGATTTTAGGGTGTCGCTAAATAGGTTCTAGGGTGTTTGGGGGAGTTTTTAAGGTGTCGATTAATGGGTTCTAGGGTGTTTGGGGGAGTTTCAAGGGTGTTCTTAATTGGGTTCTAATGTGTTTGGAGGAGTTTCTTGGGTGTTGCTAAATGGGTTCTATGGTGTTTGGGGGAGTTTTTAGGGTGTCACTAAATGAGTTCTAGGGTGTTTGGGGGAGTTTCAATGGTGTTTTTAAATGTTTTAAGGTGTTTGGGGGAGTTTTTAGGGTGTTGCTACAGTAAATGAGTTCTAGGGTGTTAAGTGGATTTTCTGGTGGTTTCTTTGCCAGGTGTGTTCTACTTTTGTGTGATTTGAATGTAGTTGCCAGGGTGTTGCTAGGGAGTTCTAGGGTGTTTTGAGTGGTTTATGCTGCTGAGAAGTGGTTTGTATTATGGAATTTTGGGGGGTTACTAGGGTGTTACTAGGTGGTTTCCTTTTTGTGTGTCTTGTGTGGGTTTTGCCAGGTAGGGTTTTAGAATGTTTTGGGTGATCTATGTGGTGTTTAGAGTGATTCTACGACTTGGTGGATGATTTCAATATAGCGCCATGGAGCTCCTGGAGTTGTTTTGTAAAGTGTTGTTAGGCAGTTTCTATAGTGTTACCAGTTGCTTTCTATTGTGATTTCTAAGTTAGATAGCAGACTGATTTATTTAGTGGTTTCTAGGACCTTGCTAAGTAAAATTTCATATGTTGTTTTCAAGTGATTTCAATAGTTTTTGGGGAATTTCTAGAACACTACTGAGTTTTTTTCTAGGCTGTTGCCATGTGATTTCTATCTATTTTGGGTTGTTTCTAGGGTGTTGTTAGGTGGGGGTTTTTCAGGATGTTTTGAATGACTTCCATAAAATTGCTACATAGTTTCTAAGGTGTGATTTCTAAGACATTCAACAACATTTCTAGGTGTGTTGTATGGTATTTAGATGCATTTATGCATTTTGTTATCTAAAATGCATGAAGTCATGGAGCACGGTGCTGTAAATGCATAATTTCATTTATCTCAATCCAGGTTCTTGGAAAATAGCTAACTTTGCTCATACTTTCTCTTTCTCATTGGTGTGTTTATTATTTTGGCAAGAAATGAAATGCAGTGACATTTAAACAAAGGTCAACAGAGAATCTCACCTTTCAAAGGGAACCTTTTTGAATTCAGTGTCCTTTACATAATCAATCACCTGCCTCTGTGTGCGGCCACTAATGACACAAAACACGGCCGATGACAAACAGGATCCAAAGCAAAGAGAAAAGCAGAAAACATTCAAGTCAAAACATCAACCACTTGCCAAGCACTCTGATCATTTATCAAATAGAAGCATGCAGAATATATGCAGAACAAGAGAAACAGGGTGATTAAGTAAAAGATGTCTCTGAAATGCCCCTAAATGGCGATGTTATTTACTGATGATGGACTGAACTGCACAAGGCATCACATATGTTTATTTAAGACAGAATTAAGTGCACAGTTGTAATACCTGAACCTGAAGGAGGAACCTCTGGTGAACAGAACTGGTTTAGGCTTGGGTTTGGGTTCTTCAAACAGGCGAAAAAAGGCATGGTACTCCACACAAATCTTCCAGAACACCTTACAGCAGTCCCTGCTTCCCATCATAAACTCCAGAGTATCCTGACAGTTACTCTGCTAAAGAGAACAGAAACAGGTCTATTTGACTCAAACACACACATGAACTACAGGGTATCTGGAACAAAGTAGTGATTTATGCTAGCACTGAACCTGTTTACATTACTGCATTTTTTTAAATCATCACCATTTCAAACTATGCAAGAGCTTTGGCTTTTCAAAATGCTTCATTTATGCAAGTCGAAAGTCATGGAGTGGTGTTGATGCAAGGTGTAAACGTAACGAAACGTATGCATGTTTAGATGAAAAAATGCTAGAGTTATTTGTGAACCAAGTCCTCGTATGAGGTACAGCGTTAAGACCAGGGCTTAATTTGTGCCGGAACACGCCAGATTCGGCACCTCTGAAATCAGATCCGGCACCTCATTTTACCGATTCCCCTTCTAAACCGCCCTCCTCCCCCATCCGCTGTTCACTATTACTTTCTTCCACAACTCCCCAACCCTCTTCACTTTCGTCCGCGACAACCTCCCACTCTTCACTTTCGTCCTTCGTCCCACCTCCTCCATTTTCCGGATCCATTACCCCGATCTGTTCCGGGACCTCGTGATTTACAAATTAAGCACTGGTTAAGACATATAGATGGTGTTATAAACAATTGAAAGTTGAAAAAACACTTACATTCAAATCAGGCCGTAGTTTTATAAGAAAGCGTTTCCTCTTGAAGCTCAGTTTCCGAACTTTAGACCAATTGAATGCATTTATCTTGGTGTGCCCCTTTAAAAGTTAAATAAAATACATTTAAACACAATTGAAGACAATAAAACCACAACATATTCAATACAAGAACACTTCAATAGAAACATCAGTTAATTACTGCTTCAGTAATCGAACATTAATAATGGGCAAAACTTACTGTGAACAAGCACTGTCAGAAATCCTACTTTATATTAGGTGGCCTTAACTACTATGTATTTGCAACGAAACATAAACACAATGTACTTACCGTCTTCACAGTGTATTGCAGAATACTTCTAGTGCTCTTAAAGTGAGATATGGGTAGGGTTATGGACAGGTTTGGTGGTATGGGAAGGTTCAGGAGCAGGTTAAGATGCAAGGGATGGTCAAAAGTGTAATTACTGAAATTAATTACAGATACAATTATTTAATTAATCATAAGTACATGTAAAAACATGCATTTACACGATAAGTGCATTGTAACAAACGGTTGATTTTAGTTTACGTACATATTTAAAAATAATAGTAATTCCTTAAATATATATAAAATATATTTAAATATATATAAAATATTTAAATATATATATAAAATATTTAAATATATATATATATAATATTTATATATATATATATATATATATTTATATATATATATATATATATATATAAAATATTTAAATATATATATATAATAATTTAAATATATATAAAATATTTAAATATATATATATATATATATATATATATATATATAAAATATTTAAATATATATATATATATATATATATATATATATATATATATATATAAAATATTTAAATATATATATAAATTAAAAAATATATATATATATATATATATATATATATATATATATATATATATATCGCTTTTCTGGACACTCAAGGCGCTTTACACACGTACTAAGAAAGGCGGGAACTGAAGAGCCAGGGGGAGGGCGGGGAATAGGCACCACGAAATGAAGAGGGGGGAGGGGTTAAGGCGCGGGATGATGTGCTGCGCGAACTGAAGACTAACTTAGGAGTGGGGAGCGGTCATTTACACGAACAAGACTTGGGGGATGGGGGGAGGGGGGTGAAATTCCCAGAGTTTTCCGGGAGACAGAAAAAAACGGCAGATGGGTCTGAAATACAGGAGACTTCCGGAAAAAACGGGAGTGTTGGCAGGTATGATGAAGCCAATTGTAATATGGGGATGTTCAGGAGACCATAATGGACAGAGGCTAGTGGGCAAATGTGGCCAGGGTTAAACCCCCTAGTCTTTTGGAAGGACATCCTGGGATTTTTAACCACCACAGTAAGTCAGAAACTTGGTTTAGTGTTTAAAGATAGTGCTCACTGGGTAGTATAGAGTGCCCTTCACTATAATGGGGTGTTAGGACCCACATAGACCACAGGTTAAGTTCCCCTGCTGGCCACATTAACACCACTTCCGGCAGCAACTTAGCTTTCCTATGTGGTCTCCCATCCAGGTACTGCCCTGCTTAGCTTCAGTGGGCGACCATGTGAGAGTGTCAGAGAGCTAGCTGCTAGCTAGTTTAAGGCCACCTGATATAAAGTGTGAGCAAGCAAGTTTCTTTATAAAAACAGCTGAAACTCACCTGAAAGACCAGCACACCAGAATGAGCCACGGCGAGGCTGAGTCTTGTACCCTCTCGATCTTTTGCCGGATGAAGACGCACTCCATACATCTCAAGTCTCCTTGCGATCTCCAGAAGCTGGTAGTCAGATTCAGCTGGTGTTTGTCCACTGTGGAAACATTAAAGTGCACACATTTGCACAAAACACAGAGGCTGCCGACACTGTGTGAACATTAAATAATGGACAAATAATCCTAATAAGCACAACCTCAAAATCTCAGCAGGTTAGAAACGGCATCCAGGAAAGTGCATGTCTAATTTATCATAACAGCATTCTGCCACCTCCTAAATTAAAGGTGGGCTGAACTTTAAACGTCAAAGTGATCTACAAATTGCACGCAATAACAACAACAACTCCCTGAAGAGTCTGTTTAATTAGAAACCATCAAACGAGGAGGTTACGAGCGTCTAATGCATTGCTAATTCTTTCTAGCATGTTGTTATTAGGTTGTTTCTAGGATGTTTCTAAATGGGTTCAAGGGTGTTTAAGGAGTTTTAGGGTGTTTTTAAATGGGTTCTAGGTTGTTTGTAGGAGTTTTTAGGGTGCTGCTAAATGGGGTCTAGGGTGTTTGGGGGAGTTTCTATTGTGTCTCTAAATGGGTTCTAGATATTTGTGGAGTTTTTAGGGTGTTGCTAAATGGGTCCAAGGGTGTTTGGGGAGGTTACAGGATTCTATGTTTCTAAGTGGGATCTAGGGTGTTTGGGTGAGTTTTTAGAGTGTTTCTAAATGGGGTCAAGGGTGTTTGGGGAAGTTTCTATTGTGTTTCTAAAGGGGTTCTAGGGTGTTTGGAGGATGGGAGTTTTAGGGTGCTGCTAAATGGGTTCTAGGTATTTAAGGGAGTTTCTTGGGTGTTTCTAAATGGTTTTTAAGATGTTTAGGGAAGCTCCTGGTGTGTTGTTAAATGGGGTCTAGGGTGTTTGGGGGAGTTTTTAGAGTGTTTTTAAATGGGGTCTAGGGAGTTTTGAGTAAATTCTAGGGTGTTGTTAGGTGGGGTTTTTTTTTTTTTGGAGGGGTCTCTCATTATGTGGTCTCTATGGTGTTTTGGAGTGTTTGTAGAGCTTTGGTAGCCGGGGTTCAATGTTGTTTTGGGTGTTATTTAGGTTGTTGCTAAGTGGCATTTAGTAACGTTATGGTAATTTCTACTGTGATTTGTTTATAGGTTAAAGGATAATCTGGTGAGTGTCTATGGTGTTGCTAGGTGGTCGGTGTTTCTATGTGATCTGAAAAGTTCCCTGTGGTTTGTGCATTATGGGAGGTTTTTAAGTTACTTCTATAGATTTTATGGAGAATTTCTACAGCTTCGTGTGGTCGGGTTTGGTGGCATTTTGGATAGTTTATAGGATTGGGGTTCTAGGATGTTTTGGGGGTTGCCAGGATTTCATGTAAAGATTTCAGCTAGACCAAATTGTACATTAAACACAAGAATCCTTTAATTCAAAGAACTGAACTGACTATATTGAGTCATGACTTCACACTCACACATGTTTGCGGTGGTATCCAATGATCTTGTCCATCAGTGTGTCCTGCTCTGGAATATACTTGTTGTTGAGCAGATGTTGTTTGCACTGCACTTCATCAAAGTCTCCAATCTCAGCTGTAATCAAAGAAACAGAGACAAGGTTGTATGATATGAATGAAAGACAAAAAAAAATATTTTTTTTTCTAAACAAAACATAATGATATATTTTTTATGACATAAATTTATTTTTTTCATGATTTAACAAAGGCAGCCACTAAAATAATATATAGTGTAATGATTTTATAACGAGTAATGGGTTTATACACCAAAACAGCTTGCTAGGCATATTTACAACAAGAATAATTTATCAAACAAATCCAAAATTTTAAACATAATCAGATATGCAAAATAAATAATAATATTTCTAGCACATCACTGCTTTTATAAGAGCTTTATCTGTATGCAATTGGTTTGAATGTGTCTCTTCTTTTCTTTACCACCGGCCAGCCTCTATATTCTGATATTACACTAGTTCTCATCATCCTCAGCGGCGGTTTCCATAGCAACAAACCAGTCTGGGATGTGATGATGTGAAAGCAGAGCTTGTTTGACATGATATGAACATGGTTTTGCATGAGCGACAACAGAGACTATAAACAGATCTGTCCTCCCGATGACAGCAATGTCATTTAAACAAACAGCCAGCTAATCTACTGAAGCACTGCTCTGACTTCGACAAATATCAATACACTAGAAAAAACACTGATTAACTAGTAGAGATTTAATTTGACTGTTATAATAAGATTATTTGATTATTTGACTGTTATAATAATGTCTAATGTATTGCATGTCCTATGCATTTGTTAAAATTATTTTGTAGTATTTATTTTTAATTAATACACATACACTGGAAACTAACAAAATAAAGGTTTAAATAAGAGATGTCCTAGATTGCTAAAATTAAACTGCAAATGTAATAGAAAATAAGATACTAGTATATGCTGCCTAAATCTATCTTTTAGAGGCACCCACACAAAACCAGCACTGTATCTTATGAAGAGTAGAACAGAAAACTGATGTGTCATAAATATTTGCCCATGCTGTCTTGTCTTACACTGCACTATATGAGCCACCAGCAGGGCGGCGCTGCTCTCATTACAGGTCAGGCGTCCACAGGCCAGATCATGCTTGATCTGCAGAGCGAACAGATACCTGTCAACAGAGGAAACAGTGGATCAATACACACCATTATACACTCAATTAATGCACGCCACAATTACACTAGTGATCTTCATGTTTCTAATCTGAGCTAACAACACATAGGAGACTACACGAGAGAGTGTATTTGTAATCCTTCTGAATGAATACTGCAGAAGTGTTTGTGTATGAAGGTTAGCATGAACTTCTGTTATGCTTTAATAGCTTCGTCTAATGAGGCTAAGTGCTGGTGAACTATAGAGATATGTCCTAATTGAATCTGGCAGCATTTCTCTCTCAGTGTATCCATCTGTTACTGTATGGATGCCAAACACTGAAGAACAACACCAGCATCATTCTGTTCATTGTAGGACTGAACACTCATTCTGATTGTCCAGTATAATGATATATATATATATATGTCTCCATGGAAAGTAAATTTTAGAATCGCAAAAACGTATTCAAATGAAAACATATCAAAAAACAAAGCAGTGTTAACTAAAACTACAATACATTATATGAAATGAAATAAAATAAATAAATAAATAACTATAAATATATATATAATATATATATATATATATATATATATATATATATATATATATATTTATATATATTAAAATGTACTTATTTCAGTAACTAACTAAAAATAACTAAAATGAAGAGAAAACAACACAGCAATTAAAAAGAAATTAAAATGACAACACTGAGATTACCAAAACTAACTAAATATTAAAAATAAAAAAGCTAATTCAAACTACACTGCTCACTACACATGTATCTCAACGGTACTCAATGTATTAAATACAGATCTCAAATCAGCAAGTTTCTGGTTTTCTAACCCACTGGACTTCCAAAATGTTCCAGTAAGATGTAGGATGTTTTCATAATACATCAAATAGATTTTTACAGCTTGAAGTGTTTTGCAAAGGCAAAATGTCCTTGGACGAGCATTTCAGGTTTGGCGAGAGCCTAAAACTCAGCCTGCGCGGGAAAATCTGCGAGTGTTAGAATGCCAAGAGCTGGAGATGATTGATCAAACACAGATCTCCCCCTGATCAAACCTGTCTGACTGATGACTGACTCTCCAAATCATGCCTGATGCTCCGATTCATGCCTGACTCTCTATATGACACACCGAATGAAGCCTGATTTTCTGAATGACTCTCTAAAGGATATGTGATTCTATAAATGACTCACTGAACTATGCCTGACTCTTTGAATGACTCTCTGAGTGATGCCCGACTCTCTGAATGACTCCTGACTTTCTAAATGACTCCCTGAATGATGCCTGACTCCCAGAATGATGCCTGACTCCCTGAATGATGCCTCACTCTCTGAATGACTCACAGAACTATGTCTAACGCTCTGAATGACTCCCTGAATGATGCCTGACTCTCTGAATGACACCCTGAATGATGCCTGACTTTCTGAATGACTCTCTGAATGATGCCCAACTCTCTGAACGACTCCCTGACTGATGCCTGTCTCTCTGAATGACTCCATGAATGATGCCTGACCCTCAGAATGACTCTCTAGATCAGAGATCACCAAACTTGTTCCTGGAGGGCCGGTGTCCTGCAGATTTTAGCTCCAACCCTAATCAAACACACCTGAACTAGCTAATCAAGGTCTTACTAGGTATACTTGAAACATCCAGGCAGGTGTGTTGAAGCAACCAGGGACACCGACCCTCCAGGACCGAGATGACTCTCTGAAAGACTCTCTGAATGATGCCCTTAATGATGCCTGACTCTCTGAAAAACTCTCTGAATGATGCCTGACTCTCTAAATGGCTCCCTGAATGATGTATGACTCCCTGAAAGATTCTCTGAATGATGCCCAACTCTGAATGACTCCCTGAATGATGCCTGACCCTCTGAATGACTCTCTGAATGATGCCTGATCCTCTGATTGACTCCCTGAATTATGCCTGTCTCTCTGAATGACTCATTGAATGATGCCAGACTCTTTGAAAGACTCTCTGAATGATACCTGACTTACTAAATGACTCCTTGAATGATGCGTGACTTTCTGAATGACTCCCTGAATGATGCCCGACTTTCTAAACGACTCCCTGAATGATGCCTGACTTTCTAAACGACTCCCTGAATGATGCCTGACTCTCTGAATGACTCCCTGAATGATGCCTGACTCTCTGAATGACTCCCTGAAAGATGCCCGACTCCCTGAATGACTCTCTGAACGATGCCTGACTCTTTGAATGATGCCCGACTCCCTGAATGAGTCCCTGAATGATATCTGACTCTCTGAATGACTCCTAACCCTCTGAATGACTCCCCAAATGATGCCTGACTCTCTAAATGATTCTCTAAATGATGCCCAATCCTGTGAATGACTGCCTGAATGATGCTTAAATCGTTGAATGATGCCTGACTCTCTGAATGAGGCTCTGAATGATACCTGATTATTCAAATGACTCCTTGAATGATTCTTGACTCACTGAATGATGCCGGACTTTATGAATGACTGCCTAAATGATACCCGTCTCTTTAAATGGCTCCCTTAATGATATCTGACTCTCTGAATGACTCTCTAAATGATTCTCTAAATAATGCCTGACTCTCCGTACGAGGCTCTGAATGATACCTGATTATTCAAATGACTCCTTGAATGATTCTTGTCTCCCTGAATGATGCCTGACTTTATGAATGACTGCCTGAATGATACCTGTCTCTTTAAAGGACTCCCTGAATGATATCTGACTCTCTGAAGCTGACAGGAAAATGTGCCGCCAGCCTTTAATGTGTTGTAAAATTCATTTCTCTTGTCAGGCAGCGGCGTGCACAACATGCAGTCTGGACATTCATAAGTCATCTGTAATGGATCTGACAGCAGTTTCATGATTTATAGGCAGTTCAATCAATTTCCATGCCAAATGCATTATATTAATGTTAAGCGATTGAGGCTACATGCTACAACCAGAAGCAATAAATGACTGCAGCATTCATGTACAATATTTATTCATTGAAACACAAACTGAGATCGACCTGTTAAATTTATCTTCTTTAATAAGTCAAGCTACATTTATTGCTATAGTACATAATATGGTACAGACGGATTCAAAGTGGCTTTACAGTAATAAATGGGACAATATTATTCACATATCCTGTTATTTTTGTCAATACAATATACATAAATTCATAAAAACACATTCTATGATTATATATTTCAATCGAGTTACATTTCTTAATTTAAGTGTGAATATGTAAAGTCGGCATGTCAGTGAGTGTGTTCAAACCTGGTGAGCTCCTCTAAGAGCTGTGTGTGATCAGGAGGAAAAAACTTCACCACAAATCTCAGGATGATGTTTTTGGGTCCTGCAGACAGACAGACAGACAGACATGAGGTACATCAACACACTGTTAGATTCAGTTGACTGATAATCATGTTAAAACACAAACATTACACTCGGATATACAGTCAGATCAACATTCAGATCAACATTCAGACATACAGTCAAATAAACATTAATATATTCAATCAATTATACAACCAGATAAACACTCAGATATACAGTTAGATCAACAGTCAGATGTACAGTTAGATCAACAGTCAGATATACAGTTATATCAACAGTCAGATGTACAGTTATATCAACAGTCAGATATACAGTTATATCAACAGTCAGATATACAGTTATATCAACAGTCAGATATACATTCAGATCAACAGTCAGATATAGTCAGATCAACAGTCAGATATCCAGTCGAAACAAAAGTCATATATACAGTCAGATATATAATAAAATCTACAATTAGATCAACAGTCATCTCAACATTCAGATCAACAGTCATAACAACAGTCAGGTCAACAGTCAGAACAACAGCCAGATACACATTCAGGTCAACAGTCAGATACAACAGTCAGAACAGCAGCCAGATCTGCTCGCAGGCCAACAGTCAGAACAATAGTCAGAACAACTGTCAGAACAACAGCCAGATCTACATTCAGAACAACAGTCAGAACAACAGTAAGGTCAACAGCCAGAACAACAGCCAGATCAACAGTCAGGTCAACAGTCAGAACAACAGTAAGGTCAACAGCCAGAACAACAGCCAGATCAACAGTCAGGTCAACAGTCAGAACAACAGCCAGATCAACAGTCAGAACAACAGCCAGATCAACAGTCAGAGGAACAGCCAGAACAACAGTCAGGTCAACAGTCAGAACAACAGCCAGATCAACAGTCAGAACAACAGCCAGATCAACTTTCAGAACAACATGCAGGTCAACAGTCAGAACAACAGCCAGAACAACAGCCAGATACACATTCAGGTCAACAGTCAGATACAACAGTCAGAACAACAGCCAGATCTGCTCGCAGGCCAACAGTCAGAACAATAGTCAGAACAACTGTCAGAACAACAGCCAGATCTACATTCAGAACAACAGTCAAAACAACAGTAAGGTCAACAGCCAGAACAACAGCCAGATCAACAGTCAGGTCAACAGTCAGAACAACCACCAGATCAACAGTCAGAACAACATGCAGGTCAACAGTCAGAACAACAGCCAGAACAACAGTCAGATCTACATTCAGAACAACATGCAGGTCAACAGTCAGAACAACAGCCAGAACAACAGCCAGATCTACATTCAGAACAACAGTCAGAACAACATGCAGGTCAACAGTCAGAACAACAGCCAGAACAACAGCCAGTTCTACATTCAGAACAACAATCAGAACAACATGCAGGTCAACAGTCAGAACAACAGTCAGAACAACAGTCAGAACAACATGCAGGTCAACAGTCAGAACAACAGTTAAGTCAACAGCCAGATCAACAGTCAGAACAACATGCAGGTCAACAGTCAGAACAACAGCCAGATCAACAGTCAGGTCAACAGTCAGAACAACAGCCAGATCAACAGCCAGATCTACATTCAGAACAACAGTCAGAACAACATGCAGGTCAACAGTCAGAACAACAGCCAGAACAACAGCCAGATCTACATTCAGAACAACAGTCAGAACAACATGCAGGTCAACAGTCAGAACAACAGCCAGAACAACAGTCAGATCAACAGTCAGAACAACATGCAGGTCAACAGTCAGAACAACAGTTAAGTCAACAGCCAGATCAACAGTCAGAACAACATGAAGGTCAACAATCAGAACAACAACCAGATCAACAGTCAGAACAACATGAAGGTCAACAGTCAGATCAACAGTTAAGTCAACAGTCAGAACAACATTCAGGTCAACAGTCAGAACAACATTCGCGTCAACAGTCAGAACAACATTCGCGTCAACAGTCAGAACAACAGTCAGAACAACATTCGGGTCAACAGTCAGAACAACAGTCAGAACAACAGTCAGAACAACACTCAGACATGTATACTCACGTCTAATCTGCTTGAGAATTGGCTTCAGCAGATCCAGCCACACCTGAGAAGAGAATCAAACCATAACATTTTGCAAAAGCTGGTAATCATTATTTACCCAAAAAGTATTCATAAGAAGAAGAAAGCCTAAACACCTAATGCCATGGTAAATTAAAAAGCAAATAAAAAAAATAAATAAAATAACACTGTAAAAAAATAAATAAATAAATATGGCTGTTATCGATATAGGCATCTCTCTAGGGTTTGGGACGGAGCCACTGTGTTTACATTCCTAATTGGGTCACAGAACATGACACCTGAGTACTGTGTGTATAGAGGTAGCTCATGTTTCACATATTGAAATAAAAGACAAGCGTTGCTCACAATCATTTTCCGCTGATCCTGAAACTCCAAACCGAAGTAATCGCCCTCGACGAGGTTGAGATGAGAACAAACCAGGTCAAACAGCGCCTTCCCTGGGGCCCGTTGCTGTCAAAACACAAAAAAAACATCACACGTTACACATGAAGCAGATGATACAATGCAAACACCTGTGAAACTGAGAGAAAAGTCTTAAGTATCCTGTTTCACCCGTAAAATAGACTGCAAACAAAACGGCATCCAGATTGTTTACACTGCGGGGAGAATGAAAGACTCCACTAAATCTGTAATTACAGTAAACACAAGAGTCTGTCATTCAAGCCGATCCAAACTCTCTGCTGATTGTCCATCCATTTCACAACAGTATGAAGAATTCGCTTCACATGGATGACCTCTGACCTCAGGCTACACACACACACACCTGCAGACCAGCTGACTTTACACTCATAACACACACACCACAACCTTTTTGAAAAAAATAAAAAAAAAAGTTTTGCTTATGTAGCGGAAGGGGCGGAGCTCTCGGGTGCACATGTTGGATAACTTAATTTATTTTGGATGGTGAAAGCAAAATTCTCCTACGAGAGTGATTATAGCGCCTCCCGATGGTGAATGCAGTTATACTCATGGCAGGTTTTCTTTGAAAGATATTTGGTGACCGTCAAACCTCATTAGGGAAACGGTTTAAAATTCCGCTTAGTAAAAAAAACTTTAGTGCTCCATTTGGGACGACACTACATACATATACTATACTGTTGAGTGTGTAAGTGCATAAGTACATAGTGCATGAGTGCATAGTGTGCCATTTGAGACGCAGCTATAAAGCGTGAATCATCTCAGAATGGTTACTTGATACATGACAATGAGTTCACTGTACTCAAATGGCCTCCACAGTCACCAGCTCTCAATCCAATAGAGCAGATTTGGGATGTGGTGGGACGGGAGATTGGCATCATGGATGTGCAGCCGACAAATCTGCAGCAACTGCGTGATGCTATCATGTCAATATGGAGCAAAATCTCTGAAGAACATTTCCAGTATCTTGTTGAATCTCTGCCATGAAGGATTAAAGCAGTTCTGAAGGCAAAAGGGGGTCCAACACAGTACTATTAAGGTGTACCTAATAAAGTGGCCAGTGAGTGTGTATGGGATCTGGCAAATGGATAAAAGTATATTTATATACGTATATAAATGCACATAAATACATAGATAAATATTCATGTGTGCACACACACACACACACAACAATATAGTACATACATTTAAAAAAAATCTAAACAAACTGTAATTTCAGCTTCTGTGAACTTGTTTTTATATCCTCCTGGGGACTTAAAACTGACTCATGGGGACGTGTGTGACTGTGGGAACCTAAATAATCCCCATGAGTAAACAACATGCTTATAAATCAGAAAGAAAGAAGTGTTTTCTGTAAAAAATGCAGATTGTTTCCTGTGAGGATTTGTGTGAGTCGGGCTGTACAGTAGAAACACTACATATATGGAGAGTCCTCATTGGGATATAAGAACGTGTGTGTGTGTGTTTTAGTTAAGAAAACATAATTGTGGTGCATCAAAGAGCTCCAAAAAAGTATTTGAAGCTGCACTTTTTTGATTCGAGATCTAAAGCACAGCTGTTTCCCTCATTTAGCGGCAGAAGCGGATGATTTTTAGAAGCGCTGCAGGTCTGATTCTTCAACAATGTGCATGAAGCAGGAAGAGGTTCAACCTGAGCAAACACCACCAGACAGGAGAGTCTCTGAGGAGCTCATGAAGACGGAGATCTGATCTGCACTGCATGTCTGATAACACACCAGATCACATCCACATATCATATAATTTATATTTAATGCCATGTCAGCAACAACGGCTGTTTTCATGTTAAATATAACTATTAAATTTCAATAATTAAATAAATAAATAACTATTAAAAGTCAATAATTGACTATTATTAATATATATAAATATATATATATATATATATATATATATATATATATATATATATATATATAAAATAAGCAAAGGCAAGACACAAAATTATAATAATAATCTCCTAATCTTTATTTTATTTTGATATTTTTGTTTTTAAAACAGTTTTAAAAAGAAAAGAACGTGTGAATTTGTAATGTGAGCAAAAATGCCGGATGAAGTAACTGAGTTGTTGTGTTCTCAAGAGCATCTTGTTTTCCTCCAGTGTTGATCAGCTGTTTGCACTGGTGGAGCAGAAGGTCTGGAGCCGCTGCCAAAGCAAACACCTCCTCCTGAAGCCGATCCAGGGTCAGGCAGCGGCCGATGCCCATCTGACCCCCACTGTAAACAGATGATGTCATGAAGCTCACATATCTGTGTGTGTGTGTGCTCTCACGCTCCTGCTCTCATCATAACACACTGCAAACTTCAGCTTCAAAAACAAAGCCTTCTTTGTTGCTCATTATGCTGTTCCAAAAAAAAAAGTGCAAAATATTTATCATTTTTAATCTTAATAACATTCATTTTTCTACACTGTTTTCTGTGTATTTTGTGTATACAAGTGTTTTTCATGTATTCATGTTTGTGAATTGCATTTTGGGATGTTAATCTCTGCTCTGTCGACTTTTGATGTTGAATATTCAACTATACAGTTTACCAAAGTGACTTTTACTGACATTTCAGTCGCTTTTTAATAATAATATAGTGTATAACAAATAATACTTAGAGAAATGAGTCTGTAAAATAGCTGAAAATGGTATGAATGAGTGCAAGGTTTCTGTAGTGTAATACACCAAGACAACCAGACAATACAGCACTGCAAACCATTACAAATGAATTAATAGATATGCATTTATTTATTGACAAACGGGAATAAATAAACAAGGGAAAAAAAAAATCAATCATAAAATACACAAAACTGCTAATTTAACTTAGCACTGTCGCCTCACAGCAAGAAGGTCGCTGATTCGAACCGCAGCTGGGTCAGTTGGCATTTCTATGTGGAGTTTGCATGTTCTCCCCGTGTTGGTGTGGGTTTCCTCAGGGTGCTCCGGTTTCCCCCACAGTCCAAACACATGCACTATAGGGGATTTTAATAAACTAAATTGGCCGTAGTGTGTGTGTTAGTGTGTGACTGAGTGTGTGGGTGTTTTCCAGTTTTGGGTTGCGGCTGGAAGGGCATCCACTAAAACGTATGCTGGATAAGTTGGCGGTTCATTCCGCTGTGGTGACCCCTGATGAATAAAGAGACTAAGTCGAAAAGCAAATGAATGAATGAATGAATGAATAAATAAAAATGTAATCATTTAAAAACATATATCAAGATTAATAAACATTATTCAACTTTATTAAATTAAAGATTAGTGCATTTTTTTTTACAAATAAGAGCAGCCGTGGTCAAAAACCAATAATAAGAAAGTTTCAGATATGTTCTATTTTTCATTCATTCATTCATTCTCTTGTCGGCTTAGTCCCTTTATTAATCCGGGGTCACCACAGCGGAATGAACCTACAACTTATCCAGCATGTTTTTACGCAGCGGATGCCATTCCAGCCGCAACCCATCTCTGGGAAACATCCACACACACACTCATACACTACGGACAATTTAGCCTACCCAATTCACCTGTACCGCATGTGTTTGGACTGTGGGGGAAACCCGAGCACCCGGAGGATACCCAAGCGAACGCAGGGAGAACATGCAAACTCCACACAGAAACGCCAACTGAGCCGAGCCAAGGTTTGAACCAGCGACCTTCTTGCTGTGAGGCGACAGCACTACCTACTGCGCCACTGCTTCGCCTATGTTCCATTAAGGGGAAAAAACTAAAAAAATAATTGTAATTATTACAAAATTATTACAATTATTACAAAAAATAAATAAATAAAAGCACACAACAGCTTTAATTAAAAATCAAAACAGAAAATAATAACTATATTTATTAGTAATAAAAACTAAAAATATATAAAGATTATTAAGATTAATAAACGTTATTATAGATTAAATTAAATATTATTGTTTAATTTTCTGCATTTTCAATAAGTAAATAAATCCAGCAGTGTTAAAAAAACACAGTGTTATTAAAATATTGTTTTTTTCTTGTTTTATTTATTTATTTATTTTTTATTAATGAGCATTAACAAGTTTAAAAATCACTAATATAATTCAGGTATAATATGCACAAATCTGAAAATGTAAACATCACACTAACTTCAAACACAAATATGTGCAACAAAGAACAGCAATTAAAGCCAGAGTGTGTGATCAATAAATCCTGATATCTGTCCCGTCAGGATGAGCTCGAATTCCTCTCCACTGTAAAAAGTGGGAAACAGCAGCACGTCATGAATAAATCCAGCATGCCTGAGACGCGACACACACACTGCGGTCAGATGAAGAATAAACCTCACAACTGAACTACAATAAAAACCTGAAGCAGAACGAGCGAATCATTAACACCAGGAATGAGCAATGCAAACAGTGCAGACCTTCATGCATACAGCGCTGGCCTTCATTCAGTGTTTATCCAGCGCACACGCAAAGCACTATGGGAAACTAGAATAATCCTCTGGGCTCAATGGGATGCGGTACAGTAGCTGCGTTCCTCCTTTTCTGGGCTTCCAAGTCTTTCTTTTATTGGATCCAGATGTTTCTAACTCATAGACTCTATATTCAGAGCATTGATGATCCACTTCTGCAATACAATTAAACATAGACCTATCATGCTCCTTTTTACGAGATGTAAAATACATTTTTGATGTCCCTAGAGTGTGTGTGTGTGTGAAGTTTCGGCTCAAAATATCCCACAGATAATGTTGTATAACTCTCTGAAACTGATCCTTGTAGAATTTGATAAGGATTGTGCTGTTTTGGTGACTGTCGCTTTAATTGCAAATGAGATGTGCTCTTTTCAGAAGAGGGCGGAGCTACAAATGCCTGTGTGTCAGCATAGTGGCAGATTTAAAAGCAAGACTAACATCCTATGCTAATTAGGTTGAGATTGTCACTAGTGGGCGGGGCTTTCTCTCTTTGATGACATGTACAAAGTGACAATGTCAATCAAAGTGTTTCTGCAGTTTTCACCAAGTCTGATTATGAAACACACAATTAATTCATTTTTACCATTAGATGCTGGTTAT